TTACAAGTGGCAGATCCAGGAGTTAAGCCTAAACCTTTGAAACTGCAAAGACCCCACCTTCTGCCCGCACACAGAGCTGTTTCGTTTAATTAGAATTAAACAGCCAACAGAGCCTATCACTGTGTTTTATAAGCCTCTCAGGAGTTATGCAGTCTTGCACTAATAAGCAAACAACCTCCTTAGAACTTATCATTTTTATTATACAAATGAAGTGAGGAATGGAGCACAGGGCTCAACCAGAAAGGGACACGTGCTGAAGGCAGAGCTGAGGCTTGCACTGAGATCTTTATGCCCTGGAGCATGGCTCTTAGCTACGAAGCTGTGTGGCCCTTCAGCTGCAGATGGATGACAATGATGAAGGATGCAGACTAGGAAAGGGAAGCAGCTTAGCTGCAGAGAACTTATGGAGACTCCACTTTTCTTATCCTGTCCTGCTTTGAGTAGCCTATGGAAACCAGGAAGGTTCTACAACAGTCCTTTTCCCTAGTTGACTGGCCCATCTGGAAGCCGGCACTGCTTTCTGCCCTCCTGTCTCCTCCTCCCCACCCCCACGCAGCAGCATCCAATTCTTGAAGTTATCTGTTCAACATTTCCTCAGCCAGGGGACAAGTTCCACAGATGTGTTGCCAGTCCTGGGAAGGACTACGCACAGAGAACAGACCCTACACGCTTTCTCTCCTAGCCATAGCCTACCTTTGTCCTGCACAGTACCAGGTAAGACAAAGCCCCCCCCCACTCCCACCTCACCCCCAGCTCTGTGTGTGCACATGAGTGTCTGTGTGTCTGTGTGTGTTTAACTCTTTCTCAAAAGCCTTAAACCTGAGAATCCAGTTTTAAGTTCTGGGAACACCACTGACGAATTGTATGGCTTTGGTCAACCCACTGAACTTCTCTGACACTTCCTCTCTTTAACTGCAATCTAATGATGAGCATGTTGGTGAGAGAAACATCTGGAAATGTACATGAGCTGTGTTTGGTACAGTGGCTCGTAGACAGGGACTGATGTGCTTGGGAATGAGTAGAGAAGACGGAGACAGAAGGAGAGTCACTGAAAGAAAACAACACATTCCTTAAAACGAATAGGTCTTCCCTTGTGAAGCACTTGCCGGCAAGCATGAGGACCTGCCTTTGATCTCCAGCACCCATAGAGAAGCCCAGGCAACGTACTCCATGGCTTGTGCCTTAAGTTGTTGGTTTTCTGTGTTTCCTTGACACAAGCTCAAGGAACCTCAACTGAGAAAGCACCTCTATCAGACTAACCAGTAAGGCAAGTCTAGATAATTTTCATGGTTAATGATTGATGTGGGAAGACTCAACTCACTGTGGGAGGTTCCACTCCTGGGTACCTTGGCCAGTGCTAATAACAAGATGAGAAAGCAGCATTCCTCAAATTTCTTGCCTCTGCTCCTGTTTGTGTTCCTGCTCCGACCTCCCTCAGTGGCTGAGCATGATCACAACATAGAAGCCAAACAGAACATTTCTCTCTTCAAGCTGCTTTTGGTCCTGGTGTTTATCACAGGAAAAAAAAAAAAAAAAAAAAAAGGCAAACCATGTTATCCCTAAAGCAGAGAGGTATTGAGGGAAATATCTGATGTTGCTTTCTGACCTCCACCTGCGTGTGCATGCAAACGCAGAGAGGGGGGAGAGGGAAAAGAGAGGGAGAGAATGGAGAGAGGAAGGGGAAGAAGAAGAGATGGAGGAAGGGAGAGAGAAAGATTCAGAACTGTTGGCAATTGAAAGGTACCTCAACGTTTAAAAGTTCTTCGTCTGTTCTAGGTTCAATGCTGGCATAGTGATTATGCTGCCATTTATCATGGGGCTCAGGGTGGGAGGTGTCATCCTTGTAACCTCAAAACCAGGGCCCCAAACCACAGAACTGGTGGGTGGTAAAGGCAAAGGCAAAACAATCAAATCCTGATCGCGTGACTGTGGGTTCCCCTAGAACACATTAAATGTGTCAGTCTGTTAAGTAACATTTTGTGTCCATCAGCTTCTTGAACAGGTTTAATTCTCAGTGCACTCCATGCATGAGTTTAGAGTCCTGGACCTCCACTACACACGGCCAAATTGCTTCCAGAATGCACTTTTAAACACTTCAAAATCCTGGGCTCTAAAATCACTTCATCGTGACTTCAGAGTACATCCTCCAGGAGGGTAGACATTCCTCCAGCTGATAAAATCTAAAAGAACATGCGGAACCCTGATAACGTGTTTCATAAATGAAAGAGAAATTGTTCCGTAATTCAGACATTCTTTGGACACAATAGATTTTTTCTCCATCCACCTTTCATCTCCTAGTTTTGTTTGTTTTTGTTTTTGTTTTTTAAATAAGACAAAAGAAGAACCTAACATTATGTTGAATCCTTAGCGGCCATCAACAAACACGGTGATGCAAAGCTAGATAGTCATCTGTGCAGAGAATAGCACTGGTATAATTATTACTATGTAGATATACAGCTCGAGAGAGTGATAGAGAGAGATGAAAGTTTGAATATTGATATGTAGAAATAGATGCAGCTTTAGAGAGAGATCTGCACCTCAGGAGGGCAGACGGAAACAAGGGTGTGGGTGTCTCTGAAAGCTGTATCACGCACTGCCGTGCGTGCTGTGTCTTTATATATCCATGCATAAGCTGCCCCGAACTATCTATTTCAGGCCCTAATCCCCACATCGTCCCTCTAACCCTGCTGCAGAAGTGAAGACACCATTTCTTTGCACCCGGCTCAATTACCCCATTTCTCTGAGAGAGAGTTAGCCATCGATAGCTCCTGTTTCTAGAGTACTTACCTGTGCTGTGTCTTGCAGAACATCAGCATATTCTTGCAGAATGCAGAATGTCCATCACCACTCTTGCTTGCGCCAATAGGGGCTGTGAGTCGATCTGTGTTTAAGAGAGAGGTTAAGTAAATTGCTCCCAGTTGCACAAATGGTGAGCGAAGGGTGAATGGAATTTGAACCTGTGCTGTTTTATCTCTAAAGGCTGCCCTCTCAGCTACCACAGCTGTCCTCGTCCAGGTACCCTTGTGTTGGCCAACTCACACGTCAAACATTACATTGGAACTGCAAACTATTTGTGAGATAGTGCCAGCATTATTCTTATTTGACCAAGAAGGTTGCCATGGAAAATGATCACAGACAGAGTGACTTGACAGAATTTGTTTTCTCAAATCTCTGCATATTGAAAGTCCAGGATGAAGGTTACTTGTCTGAAGCCTCTTTTCTTGGTTTTGGAGATGATTGTTTCTATGTTCATACAGCATTCACTTCCACCTTGTGTCTGGATGCTAATCTCGTTTTTAATTTTTTTTTTTTACACTGTTTCACTGTGTATCCCTGGCTGGCCTCAGACTCACAGAGATCCACTCACCTCTGCCTCCCGGGTGCTAGGATTAAAGATGTGCACTACCAATGTCTACTTCCTTTGTGAAAAGGGAGACCAACCATAATGTATTCGGTTATGCTCCAATGGTCTCATATTTAACTCAGTTGCTTTTTGAAAATATAGTCATACTGAGAAATATTGGGGTCGGTACTCCCACCTTCAGGAAGGGGGCACAGAAATAGTCCCTATATTTTCTTGCTCTAGCCCACACTTTTGTTTAAGTCAGTAGCCACTCCTTATATATTTTTGCCTATTTATTTTGCAGTGCTAGCGACAGTACTCATGGCCACATGGGCAGACAAGTGTCCCATCACGGAGCTGCTTCTTACGTGGCCATTTGCCCTGCCTGTGAGGAAAGCCGTTAATAGTTAAGGAAGACCCAGAGGTCGTGCAGACATCTATGTCTCAATATAGCCATTTTAGATAAAAACAGCCAATGGGAGACTGCACCCAGCACCTGCAGCGCACCTCACTTCTGTGGGGGGTGGATGAAAGGCTGCTGCAGTTCCCAAGAGACCAACAACTTTGTGTAGTCATCAGCTGAGACTACTCCATCCAGTCTTGAACACTGAATCTCAACCTCCAGTTATGTAATCTCTCCCATACAAGATTCAGGGTTATTTGTTTTGGGGTTTGTTTTGGGCTTTGTTTTTTGGGGTGTTTTTTTTTGTTTTTTGTTTTGTTTTGTTTTGGTTTTTTGTTTTTTTTGTTTTTTTTTTTGTTTTTTTTGTTTTTTTTTTGCTTGGAGAGGGGATACTGCTGTGTAGCACTGTTTGCTCTAGGACTGGTTTCATTATCTAGGCTGTCCCTGCATTCATAATCTCACTGAAATGTCAGTGGTGCTCCATCCCCTGTGTTGACTCTGGTGGGTGGGGAACGCATCCTAGGGAGGATCTTGGGGCCACACAGCATCAGCAGGAAGAGGCTGAGACAGTAGCACTGTCTGATCTGAGCGTGGGTGTATGGCTGTAGGAATCCATACAGAAGCCCACAAAACCCAGGGGGAGGCAGTAATAGCAGAGGGGCAGAGGGGCCTTGGCAACAGCGCTAGCCAGATTGAATAGCTCCAAGACTCTTGCTACCCTTATCTCCATGTCTCTGGGCATCGGCTTCATTTATTTCACATGATAGAAATAATAACCTCAGGACTCTTTCCCAACTCTTCTCTTTATGGTGGTTCCAGCGGGAGACAGTGTGAGCTATTCTTTGCTACCGAACACACACACAGACACAAACATGTGCACACGGGTGTACACACATACACACAATTTTGAGGATTTTGGTAGCTCTAACTTGTGTTTAAACATCACAGGGATGATTATTCAGATTTGGGGGGATAGGTTTTAGATGAAGATATGACAATTTCCATGGAAACCTCAAGACTAGGCTTGACAGGAAGAAAGGATTCCAGACTCGAGACAACTTGCCCCATGGTGAGGATTTGCAAAAGGGATGGCCACATGCCTACCACCCTTGGGTCAAACCAGAGGGAGTTTCCAGAGTCTTCCAAGCATGTGTCTCAATCTAATGTAGCAATAGCAGCCATTCACTGGCACTTTGTACACCTTGTGGTTCCTGAGCTGGGTAGAGAAATCCTCATGTGAAGCAAGAGGTAATTCTGGCAACAAATCAGGATCACAGAGCAACACTGTTCAGGGACAGTTCCTGCAGGTTGATTGGCTTGTAAACCACCTTTTCTCGAGGCAGGCAGTGACTTGAAGGTTCCGTGTCTTGTGCCGGAGGATCGCCTCAGTATGCAGTGGCTGATGAAAATCCAGATCTCCAGGGGCATCTGCAAATTCATCCACAGCTTCTCCCTGAGCCCCCTCCGGCTGCACAGCAGGTCTTCTTCAGGAGTTAGAACACAAAGATGGAATGACTATGATTCGCCTGAGGAATTTAACTTTGCAAGCGATGTGCTGGACGACTGGGCTCAAATGGAGGAGGTAAGAGGGCATGGTGATGGAGCTGAGAGGACTGGAGTGGCCTAGTGGCTTTATCTTACTCTAACTAGGTAAGGAGGTGCAGAGGGATGCATGGATTCTCGAGAGATAGAGGGGCCTACAGCTTCTTCTGTCATCTTATTAAGGTGGCAGGTCTCCCCTGGATCCTCCAGATCAGCTACATCTTGAGGGTGGCGTCCAGAGGATTCTTCCAGAGAAGTAGTCTCTGTGGCCTTCGAGGCACCAGGCATCTCTGCAGGAAATCCACCTTGGTCTGCCTTTTCCCAAGACGTAGATGAATAGAAAAGTAGTAGTGACACTGGGCGCTTCGGTACACAGTTGTGACATTTTGAGCTACTGTGTGAAAACTCACCCAGAATCCATCTTTGTACAGACACAATTCACCTGAAGTGAAGTTGGAGAGGAGCTGTAAATGTTACGTTCCAAATGAGCATGTACTCCTAGGTCACTGCCTCACAGTCCATACTGCCTCCTTCCCCATCTTCCTCTCTCTGCTACCCTCTTCCCTCAGAACTTCCACGACAATGCCAAAAATAAAAATAAAACCACAGCCCTGTCGTGGAGAACATGCTTCTGTCCCAAGGCAGCCATTTTGCATTGATCTTCTGCTCTTCCCATTTTCCAGATGAGGAGACTGGGGGTCCGAGAGCTTAAGTGACCTGCTGGAATCTCCTCTCTATCTAACAAACAGAATAGGATTTGGATCCAGGCTGACTGATTCTACAGTCCAACATTTAGCCTAGTGTCACCATCTGAGAGGCCAAAGCCCCTCTGCCTCAGAGATGATGAACGGGCTTTCTTCATTGCCCAGACCCTAAGTCTAGTTAAGACCATCAGAAGCATGAGATGGGTTGGGAAAGAAGAGCCTAGTGATAAGAAGAAAGTGGTATCAGCTTGTTCTGTGCCTTCTTCATAAAGCTCTGGTTAGTGAGTTCACACACCAGCACCCTCCCCAGAGTCCCCAGAATTCCAAATTCTGTGGTGGCAAACTCACAGGGCTGCTAGAGCAGTTGACCATCATCGTTAACAGCTGTGGACAAACTGAAGCATCCCTGTATCCCACGCCTGGGGTTAAAACAAAAGCACATTCACATAACGTAACTGGGCTTTTGAGGAAACCAAAACTCTCTCTATACTCTCTAGCACATGCTCCTTCAATTGCTCTACTTTTGGTCCTAGAACTTAACTTCTCTCTTTTAGAAGGTTGCCCCTCTGTTGATATTGACATTTGATTCACTCGGAGCATTTCTGATCTCCTTTTGATCTTTGTGTCTTTTGTTAGCTGTTCCAGCAAATTTAACAGATTAAAAAAAAAAAACAACAAAACTTTATCTAATAACCAAAGTCCATGGAGCTTGTTTCTGGGAATCTGTTTTGTCCCTTTGAATAGACAGCATCTCTCTGTTCTGTTTTGGTTTTTTTCCTATGCCCTGTGGTCATTGGTTGAAAGATGGACATGTGGGGAAGAAGCTCATTTTTTTTTTCCCAGTCATTCAGACTAGCTCATGGAAGGGCAGACTGTCACTAATGTGGCCAGGAGAGGGCTTAACGCCATCGTAAGCCTTTCTGACATTTGCTTTTCCTTCCCTGGTCCTCTTTGTGTGTCCTCTCAGCTGTACCAATCTTCACATTCACATGGCCGATGATACTAACCCTGATTCCCCTTTTTGCCCGTGCTTCTTCTCCCGCCAGCAGCACAGAAATATCCGACCTGAGAGTCAAACTATGGTGCTGCTTCCCTGTGACCTTCAAATCAGGCAGGAGAGAAAGCAGTCCATCCAGTGGCTCCCGAACGGGACAGGACACTGCAGAAAAGAGCCAGTCTTTTCCATGAGCTGGGAATTGGATGGCTTCCCCTGGATTGCGCCCCGCCACACCGCCAAGCGCGGCAGCACCTCACGTGCATGGGAGCAAGGGCAAGAAAGGGTGGCACGGATTGCCCTGCCTTCTGAGTGTGGCTGTAGCCGTGGGCAGCGGCTACAATGTTGCAGACCCTTTGCTGGTTTCTAGAGTTCTCGTAAAGCTACTTGAGTTACTCTGTCATTGTTTGTTCCATGTCTCTGTGAGGAAAGAAGAACCTGCAGGTTACCCGCTATTCTGTCTTCATATCCTAACCACTAGAAATTCCTGAATTTTAAAATGTTACCCAAACATTCAGCCACTACTATTTTTCTTTTGTTATGGTGCTATTTCATTGAACAACTACTTTGTGCCAAACACTGTCAATGTGAATTATTTGTCTAAAGTTTACTGTTGTTTAGGCAATATTGTTGTCCCCATTTCAGGGATGGGGAAACTTAGTGAAAAGAGAAACTCACTGTCTATGTGAACCTAGAGCAGACCAAGGGAGAAACAGAATTGTTTGTCTTCAGTGGGAAAGCTTGAAGAGTATTCATGGTCACTCATGAATTGGGAGTGGTGCCCAAGCCATTCCCTTCTTCCCTGGAGTCTGTTAACGTCTCAAGCGCTAGACTCACTGGAATGTGATTGTGGAGACGGGTTGTCCTTTCCTTGAAAGCAGGAGTAATGCTTGCTATATTATCTTAACTAGGAGGGCAAGAGAGGCCCAAGTCCAGCCCTATGGTGGGTGAATGGCCAAGGAGAGGAGATAAAGTGGAGCTTCAGAGATCTGAGGGACGTCACCCGCCGTGCTGCCAATGCCTTTGAGCAGTCTTGTGGCCTGCGGCAGGGAGACCGCCTGGCCTTGATTCTGCCTCGAGTGCCCGAGTGGTGGCTGGTGACAATAGGCTGCCTTCGAACAGGTCAGTGACTCACATGCGGCCCATCAGGCTCAGGGGCGGTAGGTGCCGTGGACGCAGCTTGGTACAGACGAAGCTCTGGGGCTCCAGCCTTGGCTTCTATGCTGGAACCACGGAGGAAGCCTCCCTCCCTCCCCACCAGGATGGAGACAAAACTGTCTCTTCCCCATCCCTTCCCCATCCTTCAAGGCTGTCTCTTTCTCCCAGTCACATGTATTCACACACCTTCTTCCTCCTCCCCTAACACTCCACTACTAACATGCCCTAAACACAGTATCATGCCTCCTGAACATAGTACATCCCTTCTCTCAGAATCTGTGGTGGATGTTGCAAAACCTACAGGTACCTGTGAGCAAAGGAACATTAAAAAAAAAAATCTGCTAAAACCCAAGACGTTCCCTTCACAAACTCACAGCGAGGTTATGACACAGGCTGGCATCCGTGTGTATAGTTACTCATACACAAGGATATTGCCCAGACAATATCCTTTAGAGCCAGTTTCTCTTTAAATCCGATCGAGAACCGTGCATTGTATGAGTTAGCAGACCTGCTCCATCTTCTTTAATCTGCAGTGTTTCGGACCTTTCTGCGTGGCAACGGCATTTTCAAAACACGCAAGCCAGTTGTTTTGCAGAATACAGCTCAATTTTTGGACTTGTGGGTCTTTCTTTGTAGTTCTCCTTTAGAGTAACTGGATTTGACTGTAGTCCCAGGAAGGATGGTTACGTCTTCCTCAGCGCACCATGTCAGAGCATGTGTGAACTGGGCCTCCCAATCCTCATGGTCAACATTCCTGATTTCTCCTGCAAGATGTTGGGACTCTCAACATCTCCACCCCCGGGAGACCTTCATATGGCTTGGCTCTGCCTAGATAGTTTTTTTTTTTCCTCAACATAATATTCTTATTGATTATTCGGGAATTTCACATAATGCACCCCTGATCATACTCACTTCCAACGCCTCCTAGACTCACACAGTCTCGTGAGCTTCCCCCCCACCAAGAAAAAAAGAAAAAGAAAAAAACATATCAGGTTCAATTTGTGTTGCCCATATACTCACAGGAACATGGTCAAACTCTCAGTGGCCAGCTTCTTAAAGAAAACTGAGTCCTCCCCCACCTCCGAAACCCCCACCAGAGCTACACTTCAGGATACCTATCACAATTTTTAAGAGTTCTCTTCAATGGCTTCCTGTCTAGACTGTTTCTTTGGGGGTGGCGGGTCATACAATCTTTCTATATACTACTGTGGTGGGGTTATAGAAAGGTTTTTCTTTTGTATCATGACATCTATGTGTGGTTAATTTAAAAAAATCTCATGCAGAGATTTCACTTCCTTTTTAAATTACATAAACATAAACATGTAATTTACATAAACATGGATAATTTAGAATCCACGTGGGGCCTTGAATTTCAGACTTTCATTGTCAGAATCCACGCAGGGCTTTGAGTTTTAGACTTGCATTGCTGTAGCCAGTAGTTGTGGAAACATCAAATTAAAGGCAGGAAGGTCTGTGTCGTCTCATGATTTCAGCCCATGGCTACCTGGGTCCATAGCTGCCTGGGGTGAGGTGGATCATTATGGCTGCATGTGATAGAACAAAGTGCCACACCCACCTTGTGGAACCAGGAAGTGAGACACAAGAGTCTGGAGGAGACCAGGAACAAGATAACCTCCAACGACCTACTCCAATAAAGACCCACTTCTCATCACCTCTCAATAGTTTACCCTATTAGGAGTCCATCTATAGCCTTGTCTTCCAAACACCTTTCCCCACCTTTGATCCACCAGCTGTGGAGCAAGCCTTCAGCATAAGCCTTTGGGGAGACTTCATGTGAACTGTAACAGGAACTCATGGATTCTCATCTTACCGTTACTCTCCCCAACTCATCATGCATCTTCCTGTAACATGTCTTTTTCTCTCCCCTCTTCTCCTCCTGCTTCCTTCCATTCCTCTCTTCTTCCCTCCCTTTCATTACCTAACAGAATACAATATGGAATAAAGAACTAATAGCAACGGCAAAGAGACCATAGGAAAAGAAAGACTATGTATGTATAACTAAGAGATGGCTCGTGGAAAGCCCAAGGCTATCTAGCTGAGTCCTCTGAGGTGAGCAGAATTAAAGAGGGCTAGAAGCAAAGAAAGGCCGTCCGATAGTGGGTTCCTCACATGCAAAGACTCCTAGGCAGGACTAGCAGCATGCACACACACACACACACATATGTGAGTGCCCACAGCCACTTTGAAAGAGAAAATAGATGAAAAGGAAGATAAACAGTGTATGTGTGTGTGTGTGGGGGGGGGTGCCTTCAGTGTCAGAATAGGAAGTAGGATATCTTCCTAGAGAGAGAAGGCACAGGCGTTCATGAAAAGAAGAAATGGCCTGTGCCTCGTGGAGAGATTCGTAACAGGGCATCTAGTAAGGATGGGACTTCAGTGGAGCAGCCAGGCTTGGAGTCAACGGTGGTGCTGTGCTGGCATTGATAAAGAGAACATATAGAAACATTCAGAAGACAATGTGGCTAAACTTGAGGTAAAAGGAACAGGGGACATTTAAGATGACCTCAAGGGACTGATGGGGCAGAAGAGGAAATGGGACAGGAAGAGCTGAGATGCAGCCCGTCCTAAATGCCAGCAGTGCTATGCTCAGAGGCACCGTTGCCAACCAAAGTCCATCTACCCTCTGTTTGGACTCATCTCGGGTAGAAGTGATTATGGAGGAGAGTTTTTGTGTTCATAGGAATCAGTTGGAGATCCTATTAAGACTCAGATTATGACTGAGTAGATGTGTCACAGGATGTGAGATTCTTTATCCCCCGTGGTGTAGAGGCTGGTGGTCTGTGGACCACAGTTTGCACAGTATTGTGGAAGTTCTCAGGAGAGGGGTCAGGCTTAAATCACAGATGTGAGAGCAAGTCATTCTTTCTCATCCCACAGGTGTCGTCTTCATGCCTGGGACTACCCAACTGAAAGCCAAGGACATCCTCTACCGACTGCAAATGTCTCAAGCCAAAGCCATTGTGACCACAGATAGCCTTATCCCAGAAGTGGAGTCCATAGTTTCCGAGTGTCCCGCTCTGAAAACGAAGCTGGTGGTGTCTGATCGTAGCCACGAAGGGTGGCTCAACTTCCGGTCACTGGTTAAGTGAGTTTCTGATCGGGTGAAATTTGGGTTCTGAATATGGATGGGGGAGAAGACCATCTCTGCTCAAGCACTGCAAGCCAAGCACAAGACACCTTAGGGACTGAACAAGAGAAACTCTCTTCCTGACCATCTGCTGTGAAACCCTGGGCTTCTTGCTTCTTCTCTTCGGTTTCCTTGGCCCTGGGTTCCTTGTCTGAAAAATCAGGAAGTCGGATTTCCATGTCGTGTCACTAAAGTACACCCATCCCTGAGGCCGAGCAAAGGAGCAATGTAAAGTCAGAGGATGAGTGCGTCCCATATTCCATGTAGATAAGAAACCTTCTTAGGTATAAAAATGTGTATATGAAGACATTTCATGAAGGTGAACCTCCAAGGTGAAGACAGCCTGAGCACAGTGAGGGAGTGTGTGACTTTAATTTGAGCACTCAAGAGGCAGGGGCAGGGGGATTCTCTGTGAGTTCAAGGCCAGATTGGTCTACATAGCAAGAGCCAGGACCTCCAGGGATACACAGTGAAACCATTTCTCAAAACCAAACAAGAATAAGAAATTGATCAAAAAAAAAAAAAAAAAAAAAAAAAAACAACCAGAAAGAAAAGAAAAAAGCAGTTGAATTTCTAATTGCAGTGGGTAGTGGGGCAGCGACTTTAGGGGTTGCTAGCTCCTAGCTCCTGAGTCCCTTCGGGGACAGCTTAACGGCAAGCTTAAGGCAAGACTGAAGAGAGACCCCTTTCCCCTCAGGAAAAATAAATAAACTTCTGTAAGCATTCAGGAGTACCCCACAATACTCATAGCACGGGCAGGAGCCATGCAAGGCTTGCTGCCTTTGGGTGACACCAGTTTGTCCTCTAGCTGTGCAGATTTCCCCATGCCATGCTTGACGCTTCATGTTACCTTGTGGGAAGATGGGAAAGCAACCGTGTGATTTTTTTTCTTCTTTTTCTTTTGCTTGAATCTCTTTGAAGATCAGCATCCCCATACCACACCTGTATTAAGTCAAAGATGAAGGACCCCATGGCCATCTTCTTTACCAGTGGGACCACGGGTTTCCCCAAAATGGCAAAGCACAACCAGGGACTTGCCTTCCGGTCCAGTACTCCTTCGTGGTAAGGGAAAAGCACCTATTTAAAGGCTGGGTCCCAGCGCTGAGGTGAGGGATGTGCACACATGTGCATTTTGAGGGGATGGTACTCTGAACGCAAGTGTCTACATCTTGTTCCCTGCTTCTGCTCTAGGATCCTGAATGCTAGCTGATATAGATGCAGGGTAACACAAGAGGCTCCTTTGGGCTTTGCTGAGCACTCTCACAGGAGGGCATTCTCCAAGCCAGCCAAGGAACAAGTCACTGTGTCTCTGACAGTGGGTCAAAGACAGAATGTTTTCCTGTCATGAGATGCCCCGCCCCCCCTCTCTCTCAGAGACAAGGTTTCATTTCTCTGTGTAGCCTTGGCTGTCCTGGACTCACTTTCTAAACAAGGCTGACCTCGAACACACAGAGATCCACATGCCTCTGCCTCCCGAGTGCAGGGATTACAGGCGTGTGCCGCCTCGCCCAGCTCACCCTTTTCTTTTATGGGAAAAGTGGACTTGGCATTTCTCACTAATGGAGTGCCTGGGACTGAGCCACAATAGGTCTAACCTTGAACAAAAATATGTGAAGGCAGCTGGGTGGTGATGGCACACACCTTTAATCCCAGCATTCGGGAAGCAGAGGCAGATAGATGTCTGTGAGCTTGAAGCCAGCCTGGTCTACACAGAGAGGACATCCCAAGGGGACACTGAGAGACCCTGTCTTGAAAAACATATATATGGAGGCTAAAGCTAAGCTTTGGTGAATGATTTCAATAATATTAAGCCAATCGTCTCTACCCTTATCTTCTTCCTCTCGAACTTGTAATGCTCTGAACAGACTGAGTGCCGTTGTCTAACTTATTAACCAACGCTGGAGTAAGAGAAGGCAAACAAGTACAATCCCTCCTCTTCATCTGCTGGTCAGCACACTTGACAAACTGTCCCCTCATTGCAAAGGATGGAGAACCAAAACCAAACCGTTTAAGCCAAAGGGTGAATAAGGGCTTTATGAGCTTATTGCCTTGAGCAGCTCAGGGTTAGGCTTCCAACATTCCTGGTTAGATGAGCTTTTCATCATCTCCACTGTTTCTGCTGTGTGGATGTCCCCTGAATCACTCTTATGACAGTGACTGACTCAGACCCAGCATGAGAGCAGAAGATTGCCACAGCTTTTCTAGCAGAGTCCGAGGGGTCATTAGCAGGGAATTAATTTCAGTGACACGTGTCCAGGAAGTACGACACGCAGGGGTACTGCTGGTGCTCTGGAGCCCCCACACAAATCCCGTGAAATGAGTGTGTGTGTGGGGGGGGGTGATTCACTGGCTGAGAATGACCCCGCAGCCCTTGCTGACAGGCTCTCATGATGGCAGAGCTGAGGCCACTTTTTTGGAGTTAGCAGAAAACTTTTTTATTATCATCAATTACAGTTTATTCATTTTGTATCCCAACTGTAGACCCCTCTCTCATCCCCTCCCAATCCCGCCCTCCCTCCCTCTTCTCCACTCCTGCCCCTCCCCAGTCCACTGATAAGGTAGGACCTCCTCCCCTTCCATCTGACCCTACCCTATTAGGTCTCATCAGGACTGTCTGCATTGTCCTTCTCTGTGGCCTGGTATGCCTGCCCCCCAACAGGGGGAGGTGATCAAAGAGCAGGCCACTGAGTTCATGTCAGAGACAGTCCCTGTTCCCATTACTAGAGAACCCACTTGGAGACTGAGCTGCCATGGGCTACATCTGTGCAGGGGTTCTAGGTTATTTCCATGCATGGTCCTTGGTTGGAGTATCGGTCTCAAAAAAGACCCCAGATTATTATTATTATTATTATTATTATTATTATTATTATTATTATTACTATTTTTGCTCTCCTTGTGGAGCTCCTGTCCCTTCCAGGTCTTTCTATCTCCCCCTTCTTTCATAAGATTCCCTGCACTCTGCCCAAAGTTTGGCTATGAGTCTCAGCATCTGCTTTGATACCCTGCTGGGTAGAGTCTTTCGGAGTCCCTCTGTTCTGTTCTGTTCCATTTTCTCCATCTTCTGATGTCCATCTTGTTTGCCTTTCCAAATGAGGATTGAGCATCTTACCCAGGGTCCTCCTTCTTGATTAGCTTCTTTAGGTGTACAGATTTTAGTATGATTATCCTATATTTATATGTCTAATATCAACTTATAAGTGAGTATATACCATGTGTGTCTTTCTGCTTCTGGGATACCTCACTAGTAGAAAGTTTATGAAGCTGAAGACGTCTGATGTCATCTGGTGCATGTCAGACCCAGGATGGATTCTGGCTACCATTGGGGGCATGCTGGAACCATGGACATCAGGAGCTACACTCTTCATCCACGAACTTCCTCAGTTTGACCCCAAGGTCATTATAGAGGTAAGACCAGCTTTCTGGAGTCAGAACCCTCTCAGAGGAAATAAGTGTTTCGCAAAGCTGAACCCAAATGAGAAAGGCTCAGTGAAACCCAAGAAGTAACTCTGGTCCTGAACATCTCACCACATGGGACACTGAACCAGTCATGGCATCAGGATCAGATCACAGTGCAAGCTGGAATAAATGCATCATTCTGGGTTATTCCTCAGATCTACAGATCAGATTTCGTGGGTAGGAAACGTATAATATGTACATAGAGAAACTAAAGCAATGAGGATAAGCCCAAAGCCAGTCATTTCTCCCAGTATTTTCTCCCTGCCTCCCCCTCACCCAATCCATTCTGTTCCCAAACCCACCTGCCCCCAGTCCACCCAAGAAATCTATTCTATTTCCCTTTCCCAGGAGATTCTTGCTTTCTCCACTAACTTTTTTTGTACTTAGCCTCTCTGGGTCTGTAGTTGATAGCATAATTGTCTTTTATTTTACAACTAATATCCACTTATAAGTGAGTACATAACGTTTGTTTTTCTGGGTCTGGGTTCCCTCATTCAGGATGATGGTTTTTTTTTTTCCAGTTCCATTCTTTTGCCTGCAAATTTCATGATGTCATTGTTTTTACCAGCTGAGTTATGCTCACATTCTTTTTGTCCGTTCTTTGGTTAAGGTGCATCTAGGTTGTTTTTAGTTTCTGGGTATAATGAATAAAGCTGCTATGAACATAGTTGAGCAAGTTTCCGTATAGTATGGTGTAGCATCCCTTGGGTATATGCCTAGGAGCAGCATAGCTGGGTCTTGAGGTAGATCAAGTCCCGGTTTTCTGAAAAACTTCCACATTAACTTCCAAAGTGGCTATACAAGTTTGCACTCCCACCAGCCGAGGAAGCGTGTCCCATGCTCTGCATCCTCACCAGCATGAGCTGTCACTGTGTTTTTGATCTTAGCCATTCTGACTCATGTAAAATGTAATCTCAAAGGCATTTCCCTGATGGCAAAGGATACTGAACACTTCTTTAAGTGTTTCTCAGTCATTTGAGAGTCCTCTGTTGAGAATTCTCTGTACCCCATTTCTTAATTGGGTTATTTAGTTTGCTGCTGTCTAGTTTTTTTTGTTCTTTATGTATTTTTGGATAGTAAGTCTCTGACAGATGTGGAGTTGGTAAAAATCTTTTCCCATTATGTGGGCTGCTATTTTGTCCTATTGATGGCGTCCTTTGCTTTACAGAAACTTTTCAGTTTCATGAGGTTCCATTTATTAATTGTTTATCTTAGTGCCTGCCCAATTTGTGTTCCTTTCAGGAAGTTGTCTTCTGTGCCATTATGTTCAAGACTATTCCCCACTTTCTCTTCTATCAAGTTCAGTGTGTCTGGTTTTATGTTGAGATCTTTGGTCTGCTTGGACTTGAGTTTTGTGCAAGGTGATAGATAAAAATCTACTTGCATTCTTCTACATGCAGACATCAGTTAGAATTGCATCATTTGTTAAAGATGATTTCGTTTTTCCATTGTATGTTTCTGGCTTCTTTTTCAAAAAATCTGGTGTCCATAGATAGGTGTGT